ATCATACCTTTACAACACAATAAAAACGACTAGTAACAGAGAAGGATTTACAAGTTAAAAAGGAAAGTAATTAATTAATTAAATAAATTCACATCTAGCCTGTTGATCCATCTACGATTGAAGGATAGAGTGCCGATTCTGCTGCCCCCTATTTATTTAATATTTCACTTGCTTCTGTGGAACATAGTTGGCCGCACAAACAGGCATCTGTCCGAACGAATCCATGAGCATCACCCTGCGGGGTTGCGAACTGGAGCAATTTAGTTAATCACAAGCTCGGTCGTGTTGCACCTTGTCGACACTAATCACACACCGAAGCGTTCCGACCCCTGCATACAGTTAAAACTGGATGGTCTAGACACTTGTGGTTTCGCATTCGAGCTACAGCGGAGGCAGTTTCCATCCGTCTTCACAACCCCCCTGTCTGTTGTCAGAAGCAATTTGTGCAAGCACTCAAGCTCCCATGGCCTGATTGTCGACAAGTGACCTGTCATCAAACATCGAAGCAAGTGATAATAGGAGACGAATTATGAAACAAACGTTTGAATACTTTACTTACTTTCTCTCTTTTTTTTCCTTGTTAATCCTTCTCTGTAATTAGTTATATTTATTCTGTTGTAAAGGCATGAGTAAGACACATTGAAAACGATCTTGTTTGCCAATTGTGTTCTCACTATGAGCTCCGTGGGACTGTTTAAACATATACAACTTAACCGTGCTCTCATTAAAAAATAAAATTGTTTTCTAGCGATTTTTATCAAGAACCAGTAATTTTCAGTGGCGAAGTTGTGAAAAACGATGATTATCCATTGAGAAAAAAAATTGGAAGGGCCAGCCACCTTTATTTTCTTCAACTCTGTCTGTCTCAAGACGTTTTACAAAAACTTGGAGGTAAGTTCATATCCATTCATACATGAGAAAGAAAACGGACTTCTAACACAGTCATCTCAAAACATTTGGTAAATCCGAATTTGCCGTAACTATCTATATTCATGGAATCATGATGAGAAAACGTTTTATTTCTTGAACTTTATCAAATGGTGTAAAATCATTTAATGGGTTTAATCAATAATAGACTTAAGATTGTTAGATAATAATTGTAGTTACAGGTAGTGAGTAGTCATTGATTCTTAGACTGCGTTCCATAAATTGAAAGCGTTTGTTGCCGGTCTAGAGCAAAATTTATCTGAATCCCTGGTTCTATAGTAAGCACTTACTCATAAGCCCAAAATCATGCAGCATGTAGGTCATTCAATCGAAAGTTGTGTACCTTTGGCGAAGAGAAATTCGATGAAATATTATGATAGAAATTTTTATAGATCTCTCGTCCGGATATAAATACGACAGTGGCGGGAGTAAACCCAAAAGTGAATTACCAAATTATGAAATCGGGGCAGTTTTCGGTTTACTCTGGGCTCAGCACTTGGTTTCATCTCCGGCAGAACTTCCGTTTCGCAGTAGTCTTCATTCAAATTGGACATCACATTACTGTCGCTTTCGAACTCAGAATCACGTGGTTCGGTGAAAGGATTGCTGGTATTGGCCAATTCTGAACTTCGCATGTCCGTTTGGTTCGTTGTGATCGGCTCTGGAATATTCTTTTGAGGTCCTTTATTCCAACCATTAATTTGCTCTACTTGTTCTGTTTTTCCCGTCTCATCCAGACTATCCAGGTGAGATTGGAAGGTGAATCGTTTATCTGAACCGCTACTGGTGCGCAAAACAGGGCTGCCTTCGGACTTTCTCGGTGCGCTAACCGCCCGGAACAACTCACCATCCAATGATCGGAAGGCGAACTTCGGGCTGGAGGCCACTTTTGGTTTGATGTGAAATTGATCCGACTGAGGACGGACAAATGGAGAAAGGCAATAGGAAGGGCCGTACTCCGCTGGATTATTCAATTCCTCCTTTATGACTGGGGTTTGTTCATTCTCACTGGGATCATCTACGTTCTGTGTGTCGATGAACAGTTGTGGTGCTTTTAGTGGGATCGAAAAGTCCTGTTGTGTATCCGACAGTGGGATTTGGGCCGGGGATGGTGGAGTCAATGAAAGTGAGTCGGAGTTGCGCGCGATCGGTGAAGTGCACATGTACGGCTGTTCCGGCTTGATTCGATGCAAACTAGAATGGCTGAGAGTGGCATCGGATTGGGCAAGGGTATAAAGGAAAGGTGGGGAGGGGGAAGCAAATGATGAATCCCATTNGCAGACAGTTCGGAAGGTATTCAACCATTCAATAAACGTACCGATTTAGCGAACAATAAAAAAATCCGTGCTTTTTGTGTTTGTTTACTGTAACACAATCCATGAATACCTCCTATTATGAATGCCTTTAGTTTATACATGTCTAAAGGGAACGCCAAACAAAATTGTATTTGGCTAGCAAAATTCATAACGGGTTCATTCGACAAATCTATGAAATTTCATAATGAGACGAAAATATACTGTCAAAAATTGTGCCTTTCCACCTTCTAAACAGCTCCTACCATGGCTGAACCAAACTGCCAAATCATGTTTTTTCAGGTGTCGTCTTCAGTGTTAGTGATAGTGATGCATTTTGGCCCAACAGCAATGAAGAGAGACAGATGACATTTTGTTAACTCCAATTGAAAGCCTCCCACCAAGTCAAGACTTCCTTGCAGGTACGGACTGATTCGCCAACGAACCTACAAGGCTGGATTGATATTTCAAATTTGACTCCGGTCTAGTGCTTCCGAGTGTATGGTTTAATAGATGAACTGAGGATTGTACGCGAAGGTGAAGTCAGAAGGATAGTCAGCTCAAATCAATAAAAATTAATTATCCCACAGCACTACTCACAAGTAAATGTGAGTCAAATTTGAAACGTCAGAAAATGTCCATAATGTCATCCCAGTGTGAGATCTCATCAATCGCAAAGACGTGCGTCACATTAAATTCGCCTCCATTTCTCCTTGCTCAAATACATGGTGCTGTGAAAAGGAGTGCAGACTTGTGCAAAGAGTAGAGGAGGATATTCAGCCATGGGAACGAAGTGGTTAGATTTATATATAAAACAATACAGGTAAAAGTTGTTAAAAGACGAAGAGGGACTGGTTGATACATATACTTTCAGTTCCTGGAGAGAAGACATCATTGCGGCAATCGATAACAACCATAGTGTGGTCGGTTGACTGCTCACGCATGAGACTGGCACAGGAAAACCAAAGGAACAAGTGTAGGGAAGAGAAGCAAATCCATGTCACTAGAACGGAAAGTTAAAGAAATACCGAATCAAAACAGGAGACAGAGGAAGACAGAACTGCGCAACACACGTTCCTGCAACTGTCCTAGTATAGCGAATAGTGGAGCTTGTAAATAGTTTATTGAGCAAACTAAACAGAACGTCAAATTCATGCAGCATTTTTACTCTCTGCACAAAATAAATCATTTTTCCTTTCCTATTTTATTCATTTTTTCTTTTTGAGATATCACGATGAATGTACGCAAAAACATAACGATCATTCATCTGTTTGTTGTCCCGTGCTTGTTTCAATGGATGTTTTAAACTTTTTTATGACAATGGATGCATCACTTCAGGCGCGATGCCTGCGAAACTTACCTGCTGTTTCTGCTAGACTTCATTGCGCTCCGTGTGGGTTCTTTGCTCAAGTCAGGCACACTGGAAGCACCACGGACCACACGGACAAATCGCATTTTCATGCTATTCTGTTTACATAGCCCTTTGGACAGTCTGTGAGTGGTCTTCTTCTCCGGATATTTACGCGCGTAACTCTCCGGCGTGGATTCATTCTCCTCTGGATCCGACACGGGTCGATCGTATGGACTGGCCGTCATTTCACCGGTGACAGCAGAAACACGCAAATCGCGTAGCAGATTTCGACTTTGTGGGGAAAGTTGGGTGATCTTGAACTCATGTCGACCGGGGTGATGAATAGGCTGATGTAACGTTTTGAGTCCAGGATTACCATTGGATAGATTTGTTACTACTTCTCCCCATTTGTGACGAAATTCAGTTGAGGTAGGCGGGGAAGAAACGGGTCTGTTAGGCACAGGTTCCTGATTAGATATTGGTAGACCGGGGATGATGGCCGAGGGTGGATTTTTTTCCTTCCAGGAACCTGCAAACAAACGCACAGGATGGAGTCAGATAACAAACAATTCCCGTCAATAAAATGATGCATATACCTAGAAGGGAAATGAAAGAATTCTCTGGAAGTAAATCCACACAATAAAGATGATAAAAGTATCTAGTGCTTAGTCAAATTAACTAAGTTGATACGAAAGACAATATTGTGGTATTGTTTTAGCAGTCCTTTCGAGTTCTTGACCATCGATCTTTTATCCTACTTGTAAGGATTTGTATTTATGTTCCAAAAGCTTGCGGTTCATATCCTACCGATGACGAATCTCCTGGATGCACACTGCCGACATATATATCTATATATATCTATACATATAATTCTAATATATATAAATATATATATATATATATATGTATAATGCAAAAAGAAACCAGCTCTCTGGTGCTCAATGATAGCCTTCACATAAAATTTCCCAAACTTGTGAAATTGTAATAGAATTTGCTCTATCCAGGTGACGTAACGGGATTTTATGGAACACCTTCCCTGACGCGTGCACACACACACACGCAAACACCCCTGGAATTGCCATCCTCTGTGATTTCAACCGTAAGATGACATCTGAAATTTGATACTTTTCACAAATACTCACATTCTTTCATTAATAAATTATGTAATCTTTTCTTCTGACATCGGATCATGGCCTTATGGTATCATATTAGGTCAGAAAACAGCTTAATCATTTTTCAGAAATTACCCGTAAATATGCTAAAACAAATGTCTACGCAAAAATATCATTCACGTGCTTTGTAAATACATTTTTTGCTAAACACCATTTTGCAAGGAAAATGGTTTAACTGATTCTTGAATACGCAGTAAGGTTGGGATTACTTTCCATTGAACGATACGGTTTGTGACAAACAGCAGCTTTTGCCGTTGATCAAAATGTGCCAAACACTCACACAACGTTTACCAAGCTTTGTTGCTCCTAATATCAATTTGATGAGTTTGATTTTATTCCTCGAAGGGATTTGGTGTACTGGGGTAACTTAGTTGTCTGCTGTGGATGAACCTCTTCGGATCGATCGTTTTGCCTTTGTGCCACATCAAATTGGAATGCTATTAAGTCTATTTTATCAATTTCAAAATTCGTCATCACTTTGTATGCATCGTGTCAACTTGTTGTGGATAATTTCTAAACAGACATCAGGTTTTGGATTTAACGTTTTCAGTCGACCTGTAATCCATGGGTTACGTATTCCTTACTCTGTGTTTGTATAATCTCGAGCACCCGGTGGACACGTAACGGAGTTGTGTTCGTATATCTGATGAAGCGTTTATTGAATGTGCTGTTTCATGTCTTTCCCTGAGTACAGTTCATTTTGCTGAAATAGTCTCACAGAGCACATTTCAAACAAAATAAGAGAGTGGCGAACAAGATGGTATTCAGAGATTCGTATTCATGCCAGTAGACCAAAATTTATATATCACTATTTGGGAATAAAATTGCCTTGGGAAAATAAAATAAGATGAAATCACAGATCACTAGAACCGATTTTATCGTGAGACCGGAAATCGGGTTCACCACGAGCACACATTTGTTTGTCCACTCATCCGATCATCGAGATAACTCGCGATGCGGTGTGTGTATGGGTGGGCCAGGGAAACAAATCACACTGTGGGCGTGTCCAAGGCTTTCCGACCCTGTGAAAAGTTCGTGGGCGATTATCGAGGCAGGCTAGCTGTGGGATGCTGGCTACAGCAGAAGTGGTGGACATTCGTCTGCACAACACCCCTCTGTGTGCCCAAAAACAATTTGTGCAAGCGCTAAAGCTTCCCTGGCCCAACCCACACAGATACACATTTTGGTCTATTGGCATGAATACGAATCTCTGAAAACCATCTTGTTCGCCACTCTCTTGTTTTGTTTCAAACAGTGCATTTTCACCAAAATAATCGAACAAACTCTCACATCGTCTTCTCCACAAACGCTGCCACAAAGAAGTACCGGGTTCTGTCATGATCCCGTCACCGGACGCGGATGGGGATGCGAGTGGTTCTTTTGGCCATCCTTTTGTGTCGGGGAAATACTTTGTCGGGCTAGTCGGTGCTGAGATGCGATCGGTCGAACTGGTTACCAGAGAACTGTTTTCTGTAACAAAAAATGGCGAGGTTGAAATGTGCTTACATATCAATTTATCTAAAACCAGAGATACGAATAGACAAAAGACTGAGCGTATGTGAAAAGTTGATTTAGTAATAGTTGCTGATTGGGTAAAATTGCAGCCTATACTGCAATTCAATTATCGACTTCTTTAGATCCGTATCATACTTCTTGGATTAGTTGAAATGCTTTCCTGTTGAAATTAGTCGGAAATGGTTATATGTGCTACTTCAAACGTGGGTAGTGAAATCACAAAACTGGGCAAATGGGAATGAAAAAAAATGAAAAGAACTATTTCAAACAAGTCTTAACATCGCCTCAACTTGGAGTATAGACAGTTCAAATAGAGTCATTAGATATTAAGTCCTTGAGTGCTTTCATTGCTGGTTCGGTTCTAAGCTGGTCAGAAGAAAGAGTTGCAAAACGGTCCGGTTAGCTTGTGAAAGCTTAGCGTTGCATCCCTGAAGCAAAATGGTAGTAAATTTGAAATAATTCATTCGATTGTTCATGGGCATATTATTAAAATGTGTTCTTTTCTTTCTACAGCAATTGAAGCGTTTAGTAATCATCACTGATACCGGAAGAAGACACAAGGCTCTAGATGATGACCCGTCATTCAGTCTACTCAATCGCTGAAGCTAAAGTACCTGGTAAACGTACATAACGCATTGGGTTGACCAATAGTATGGAACAAATGTGGCCAAGAAAGAAAAGATTGCCAAAATTAGTAGTCAAAGGTCAAGGTGAGAGGATTGTAAAGAACGTTTGCCCTTTATCCTTTTCACCAATCTCCAAATACATCTATTCATTTCAAAGTATGGATTGTCAAAAGTATACATGAGAATAACAGAACGTCGTCTATTAAACAGAATATGTGAACATGTCCAGAATCACCGCAGTTTCCGTGGAGGGAAACTACCATCCAATGCAATTGCACGGCCATCATAGAACTCCAGTCACCAGGGTGACAAACCCAAAGCGCTTCGGGTCATTACGAGGCATCAAAGTGCACGGACTGTGTGATTTTTAGAAGGGATACTTATCCATCACCTGAAACCGCATTTATGTGTTCCAAAAATATTTGTGACACAATGATTGTTGCTGTGGTAGAGATGACGTGACCTTCCTTCACTCTCCCTCCACCACATTCACCACATTGTTTGAACCACTTCATTTCCATATCCATAATTTTGTCATTTAACTTGACCCTAACCCAAAACTAAACCCAAATCACGCAACTCACTTGTCCACCACCTCGGTCAACTGATGAATTTCAATTTGACATGATCGTATAAATGTATATTTACCGCTGAATGAGAGCACGCAAAACCACCGACCAATATAAATTCTACCAACGTGTGTCCTCTTGTGTTTATGTAAATAGATTGGTTTAGTCAACAACTTTAGGGCGTATAAAATCGTGCGTTGTAATCGAGTTAGCATCACTTCACTAAATGCCACTAATTGTAATGCGTTGACATAACAGAGGTTTGAAAACAAATTAGGGTCAACCTTGTGCTGTCGTCATGGTATGTTATGCAGCGGATGACCATGGGTTTCTTGGGGTCACATGATCATCGGTTATCGGTTGCATTATCTGTTTCATCCTCCACATTGGAATGTATTCGGTCATTCGTTGTGGCAGCTGACCATTCGTTCTGTAATCCAAAGTGAACTGGTATACTGTGTGTAAGACAGAACCGGTTTCCAGCCATGTTTACGTTTGTTCAGATCAATTCCACTGCTAGGGACAATGAATCTGAGTTGAGCAGCTGGAATTGTCCTGTCTAAGACTGATATCTACATTTGGTTTCCACCATTTTAAACGCGGACACCTTTGAGCGCAAACTTCATGTAGGTGATTAGTTTTACTAACGTTTTGGACTGGGTTACCCTTCAAGAATATTCTACTATGAAATTATATGAATGTACCTGGTTAACCAAGGTTTAGTCATGCTCTCCTTATAATCTATCTAGTGAACCATTGTTTCTCGCTCAGTGAAATAGAACATATTTATTTTTCCTGACCATGAAAATTTCAAAGCACTTAATTCAATTTAGCTCATTTAGAGCTCTGTGAATATCAAGGAGTAGAACTTATAAACACTATCTTTTCTAGACATGAGAACTAGAAAGCGATTGAATGGGATATCGCAACTTGCTGTTTATCAAAAAACAACATCGAGTGACTACTTGTTTCCAGCTTTTCCCCATGACTTAAAAGCATGGACTTGTGAGAACACTATTATACTGGGATATAGTGATTTGTACTCCAGATACACCACAAGATGAACAAATAACTACGTGAAGAAAACTGAGTTTCTGGAGGTTTCATGTCAGTTTGAAGTCCTTCCAGCCCTTTGGACCCAAATAATTTCAGCTTAGTCTAAACTATGCGTAACCGGCTGATCCATCGTGCTTCTCATTGAGCTAATATACCGCAGAAAACTAAGCAACCTTGTGCATACAGTTCTAATTTTCATTCAGACGGATACAGAATTTTCAGTCTGATCAGATCGATTTGCTTCGACAGGCTGGCAATTGAATTCGCTTTGGCTCTTAGTTCAACATTGTCATACAATGTGAATTTGAACTTCGCATGAATCTCAGTCAGATACGAAAGGCGACCAAATCAAAGTATATCAAGAGTGTCTGATTGTGAGCGTGAAACTGTTAACATTGAGGTGAAAAGTGATATATGATCTTTTGTTTCAACAGCAGTGTACATCACCATCACGATTTTTGACTTGAACATTCCTAAAACCAAAGAGTTCTCTGCCCGCGTTTCAGCAGTGGTTAGGTACGGAGAGTTTGACGTTTAACAACTGATGCAGTCGCACAACCAGAGCAATGCTGAATAACCAGAATACTGATATGCGCACACGCGTCTATATAAAGGGTAGACAGAACGGAGTCACTGGACCCTTGTGGCTGTCGACCATACTCCAGAGGTTGTGTACGTTTTGATACAGATGAGAAAATAAGCTTATCCTATGTTTAGTACTTTTTTATTCTAATATTGGCTAACACCCACTCAAAACTACAACCTTTACCGTTGTTTAGCCATCGTTTGGTAACCACTGCTTGTGTTCTAGTACCCACTACATAAAGTTGAATAAATATATCTTTCAACTGCATTATTAACACCCATGAACAGGGCACGTCTGAAACTGTGACTCCGTTACGAGACTTGACAGCCCAGTGCGAACTCTGTGGAAATTTGCCGCTTGAGTAAGAATGCGTATTTTTTAGGTTTTATTGAATAAATGTTCCGTTAATTTTCAAACAGGGCCACGCATCTGAATACATTTTATAAGATTTATTGAAATTAAGTTTGCCTATCCGGTTAAGTGAACACAGCGATCAATAGCATAGTTCGTCATATATGTGTTATCCTGCACGTCGTCTGGGGGTGTTCATTTTGTGTTCGCGTCCATCATCACGTTCATACTGTGCCGTGTGTCATTGTGTGCGCTTCGTGAGTGATATAGTCTAACA